CCCCAAAACCCCAAAACCCCATCAGTACTTTAATAAAATGATTATAAGGAAATAATTATATAAAAATGATGAATAAAAGCAGACAAATACTTTTGTTATCTTTGATCGGCTTCGCCATATCTTTTGCTCAAATTGATGAGTCAGATCCACTTTTAGACCCAGAGGGAGTTGACTAAGTGATCAAAGACCAAGTACAAGTTGATAATACTCCTAAATCACAGTACACAGCCAAGGGATCTCTCTCCTCAAGTGTGCACTTACTATCACAAATCAGTGAACCTAATCCCAATGTCAAGTTTTCTATTGTGTTCCCTGAGTACTTCGGCAAAGATTCGCAAAAGAACCTCTTAGATTTGTCATTGGTCCAAGGTCAAAACCAGAGAGTGTTGATTGGTCTGTAAAACAATGGCAATGAAGTCATCTACGTGAAGAACATCTCTGGAGCCTTCGTTGAAGATGCTCTCCTGGGTGAGACACCTAAGTATATACAAAACTTCACAACTGAAAGTTTTGATGGAGCTGTAGTCAAGCCAACAGACTCATTTTCCATTGCCTATGAATTCTTCGCATTCACAAGCATTTAACCTAAGAACTATAAACTAGTAATTGCCGTGTTTTATGCGGACTCATAGTATGAGTACTCTAATCTAGTCTTCAACAGTCATGTCAATGTAAATGAGAATGATTAGAATGTCGGTGTCACTGGCCTATTTTCACTAGTACTATCAGGAGGTATATTATTCTTGTTCGGATTTGTGATCTATGTCAAAGTCCAAGATAGATTTGGACCTAAGGACGAAGGCAGAAGAAAGAATAAAGGACAGGGTGGAGTACTTGGAACCCTTAGAGACTTAATTAGCAGTTAATGAATTAGTAATAACTACATCATCTGTCTTTAATAAATTAAGTAAACACAGTATTCTTGATTGTATTGATTATATATATTTATTTAAAATAAATAGATTTAATTATAAGTTTGACAATGGATTATTTCAGAAAACTTGTCAGTGGAAAGCGAAGACGATTCCATGATGGCAACTATGATCTTGACATCACCTATATCACGCCCAGAGTTATTGCTATGTCCTATCCAGCTGTCACTGTTACAGAATCTATGTATAGAAATCCTGCTCCAAATGTAATTCTCCTTTTCACATTTAATTAGCTTATTAATAAAATTACAGGTAGTCAGGTTTTTAAAGGAGAGGCATGATTCTAACTTTTGGATATTCAACTGTAGCGAGAGAACCTATGATCACTCGAAATTGGATGGAAGAGTGAGTGACTACAACTGGAAGGATCATCATGCTCCTCCAATGCACCTGCTTTTTAACTTTGTCAAGGAAATGTATTTATTTTTGAAAGGTAAGTGCATCATTCAGTTAATTCACATCAGTTTTCATATACAAATATTTAACCAATCACATTGAATTTATTATTAACTCATATCTTAGAGAATGATAAGAATGTGATAGCAGTTCATTGCAATTCAGGTAAAGGGAGGACTGGGACAGGAATAGCTTCTCTCTTGCTATTCTCAGGCTTTGTAAGTGACACTGATGATGCCCTCAGATATTATGGCTGGAAGAGATTTTCTTCTGGTATCGGAGTGAGCTAGCCTTGCTAGCTGTGATATATTTACTACTTTGAAGCAATTTACAACAAAGTGATAGTAGCTCCCACAGTTAAGAAGCTCAAGGCAATAGTGGTGAAGTCAGTGCCGAATATAGAAAATGATGAGACCAGACTCTATGTAGAAATATATCATGTAGAATAAAATCAGAATGAAACATTGATGTTCACAAATAAGTATGGCGAATTGATTGGACATTAAGTCATCAATAAGGATAATGTCTTGATCTATTAATTCGATGAGAACTTGGAGCCTGTTATCTTTGGGGACATGCATTTCTTATTCAAACTTAGAGGAGTGATGTATGATAGCTTATTCTGCAGAATAGCATTTAACACAGCATTTATACCATAAAATAACACACTTTACTATAACAGATTAACAGTCAGCCCAGATGCTATTAAGAAAGACAAGAAGGTCAGCAATGAGTTCATGATACAGCTAGTGTTTGAAGATTACTGTGGTAGATGCAATAGACCTTTTTAAATGGCACTAGATGAGTTTTGTGATACTTGTAAAGAAATTCTAAAAGAAGATTTGGTCTCCTGGAAATCAATATAGATGGTAATGTAGAAGCACAAGTATCCTGGAAATGAAGAAGGCATAGAACTACATCAAAGCAGTGAATCTGATAGAAGCATAATGCTAAAATATGAACTCTTGATATAGAGTTAATATTATAAGATTAAAACGAAAGGAACTAAAAACTCAGAAGAATAAAAAGTAGACAACGAAGAAGAGTAGAAGGATCAATTTAAAGACTTCGATTATAATGATTTAATTTCACCCAGAGGGACTACGATTTATCTACCCTAGACTAAGTCATTCAAAGAAATTAAAGCAGATATCGACCTTGTTAATAATACAAATAAAAGGCCTGTGACTGAAAATATCGGGTTTTTTAAGGAAAGTGACTTTGAGCAAGTTAAAGCTGTCGGACAGCTATAATATGTTGGGAATGAATTACTAGAAAACGATGCTCCTGAGATAAGAGAGCCAGATTAATGGGATTCTTGATAGTTAGAGCAACCAATTGCATCTGTGTTGACTTTATGTTCCTATATCCACTACCTAATTATCGTTTAATTAATTTCAATGAAACATCTAGTTTACTTGCGAGAGTGACAATAGGACGGGGTTTTGGGGTTTTGGGG